GGTATGTTATCATAAATGTTATCATAAACATCATGGCAACAATCATCACCTCCAGGAGATGAAGGGCAAGCCCGGAGCATAAGCAGCATGTAACCCTGTTTTTCCCTGCATTTTTTTATATTTCTTATTTGTTTAATACTTTATTATTCATTTAATAAATTGTATGTTGAATGGAAACTACTGCTTAATTCAATTAGTTTATTTAATTATATATGTACATCTTTATCATCATCTGATCTTGGCATGCTATACCATTTTTGGAAAGCTCCTAGTCAATGCTACAACATATTAAAAGTTTAGCTCTCTAGATCTGTTTTTCATAGTTCTAGAACCCCACAAAAAGATAAAGCCAAAGCTAAATAGATGTACTAAAAGTTGGTGGTTAACAGTAAATTAAACTAAACTTTTCATTGATTTATTGGATTAGCGCTGTAAAAGCAAACTTTTTAGTTAGTGGATTAATGTTTATCAATGCTAACTTTTTGGTTAGCTGTGCCCACTGCTGCTTTTACTTAATAATTCAGTATAAATAAAAAAAGTTCATGAAGGATAATGTGACTTGACTGTTTACATTCCTTTTTGAGGCCCATAAGTAGTAGACCAGCATGACCACATAAGTAGTAGTAGACCAGCATGACCATGACTACCACCAATATGCAGAATACCACCCAGCACAATTTTACACAATTTGCAGGTAAAAAATGACTCATGTGGATGATTTTGTGGAATTATTGGTAAAAATGAGACATTCTTTTATCTAATTTTTACTAAAGAAAAATAAGCAAGGTCCATCAAAATTGATTAAATCTACCATAGGCATGGGCATTCTTATCTCATTCATTGTTCTCTTCAGCCGCATTTTCCAGTTTGTTATATCAGCAACATTATAGTGGTCCTAAAAATTTTATTTTCTAAAAGGTTCCTACCTAAAAACCAGTTTGTCTAGATGCCTAAATAATATCCCTAAAATATCTTTCAAATCGGTTAATATTGAGAGGTTGCTCAATGGTGTCAAAGTTACACCGCAATGGTTCAGTTGTTAGGTACATAGAGGGAACAAAGAAATTAGTCTGAACATGCTTGAACAGGGATTCTTTCTCCAGCCCCACCCCAAATGACCCGATTTCATTCTAGAGTGATAAGTGCAGTGTGCACCTCTAACAGTCAGGCAGTTGTGTTCATCCACAGATTGAAGATAAGCAACAGTGACTGCGATACACACATAGAAGGGATTTTTTGTGGCTCCTTCTCCCACATTGATGAGAGCAAAGCTTCTTTCATGCAAGCCAGTGCTGGCTGCTGTCCACTTCCATCATGGAAACAGGGCTACTTACAACGATGCCTTCAAGGAGAACATCTATAGTCCTGCAGTTATGCAGGAGTGCAAGGATTCCAACCATGCATCCTGATAAACATCTTAACAAAACTGGAAAAGATTGAGCATGAATATCACCTGGTTGAGAACAATCATCATCCAGAATACAAGGCCCAGACTGAGATGGAGTCCGACTTCAATGAGGAACTGGAGAGGGTCTTTGATGTGGCCCATAATGATGCGCTGTCAATCATTAAGATTGAGGAAGATAAGGCCTTTGTTGTTGTGCAATGGCAGCCTGGTTGCCTGAGGTACCTGGGAGGTATTGATGTGGAACTTGCCCCTTAAGAGGAGCAGAGCCAAAAATGGCTGCAAGTGCATGAGAGTGCTGTCATTGGGTAAAATAGCAGTCAATGTCAGCTTCTGCTGCCTTGGCCCTGGCAACTCATCCTCTACGTCAACCAGTGCCTAAGTGGAGGAATTGGACAAGGAATTCTGTATGCAATCAGTACAGGGAGCTGTGGGGTCAAACCATGGCATTATTCCACCAAAGAGGGCAAAGAATGGTACTACCCCAGGCTTTGCAGCTTCTCTTGACCAAACTAAAGTAAGCAATAGAGGAGCTATGTTCCTTCTTACTACGGCAGCTTGAGCTTTTGGCCACAAGCCAGAAGAGGTTAACATTAACTGCTCCACAATTTGCTAATACCAGCAGAAGCACCAGAAACAATTCAAGTTGACAACTAGGGAAAGCTGAGGACTCAGACATCTTTATAGCACTGGTGTATGTGCAAGCCTGGAATGATGCACTATTCACTGCCATTGCTCCCAGGAACAACCTGGAGCTATTGAAGGCTCCTGATGCTTTTAAGCACATTGATCCTGCCCTTGCCAAGATGGAAGGACACCTCTGGTACCCAATTGAGTTGAGTGTCTCTCTTTCTGATGACAAGGTGCTTTTAGAGACCAAGGTTGTGATGGCCATCCAGAAGAGAGAAGGTGGTACAGAGTCCTCAAAGTACCCTGTTGTCCTGTCGGGTGAAGCTGATGGCCAGTGTCTAGAAGACTTTGCAACCAACATGTAGAAATTCTTCTCAAAGCATTAGCTGAATGCAGAGTTTCTTGCCAAAGACCCAGAGATGTGCGACGAGAGGGAAGATTTCAAGGAGGCAGTTAAGGTTGTTCTGGAGCTTGCTGTCACCAATGATCATGCTGAGCATGGGGCAGTGTGGAATTCTGTATAGGTAATATATTCTCATGTCAATATAAGAAAACGTATCGAAATACCAACCCTACCACAGCGTTACACCACCTTCCACTGCAATGAAAATTTATAAACTGAGCTCACTGGAAACTACATAGCGTGCTTCCAAAATCGCGCGTGGTTTGAAATCCAATCCCGTGTTGACAACGACTAATAAGTTAACTAGTCGTTTATCTGTAGGCTTGCGGACACATTTTTCCAACGAATACGTTCTAAAATAAAGAAAAAACATCCAGCTTCGTAAAAAATTCTCACGATTGGACAGCACCCACAAAGTTTTCGATTTCACACAAAATTATGAGATAAACTTCAACTCTTTCACTGCTTACATTCACATGGCGTTTTCTGTTTACTTCTCACAAGATGGTGTCACAAACTTATGTTTTGGTTGTGTCTAGTTTGATTTCACAATAAATAGACTTGATTCACATTCCATTCTGAGATTTAAATGATTGAAAGTTTTTTTTAAATTATAAAAACCTATTTATACGTTCCAGATTTGAATTTTTTGCCCTATTATGTTGAACTTATCCTGATAAATTCACTTCAAATTCTGAATGATTTCGTCTGCCATCCCGCGTTTCCAAACATTTTTTGTCTTTTAGAAAATTTTCGTTGTTAAACATGGGAAACTATTTCATTATATAAAACATAGAGCACGTACCATATAGTGCATTAATAATACAAATTAATTTAATAAAAATTAATTTTTAATATAAAAATATAATCAAAACATCATTCAATATATTTTAATTGCTTCTCATGAATTCGCATTAAAATATTTATTTCGAAATCAACCATGTCAGAGTAACGAAATAATTTGTTCACGTTTTAGGCTTCCGAAAATATTTCAAACCTCTATCAAAAATATCATAATTAATCATTCTCTTGCATTGAGCATATGAACGGTATGCCTCGTGCTGCCGCATCCGCGATCGTCATTCATTTCTGTCAGTTGCATGCCGGGAGCCTGCTTTTGTTGTTGTTCAATGTAGTCTCGCTCCCATGAATTGCGTGTTTATTGTGTGCATCACGGAAAAGTTCTTTGCTGTCACATTAAGAGACAAATCTTTAACGAACTAGTACTTTTTATAATTTTAATTGTTGAGTGCAAGCTGCCCTGCAGACACGTAACATTTCCAAGTGAAGTGATTACTTTATAGAAACTTTTTATACCTTTACCTATACATGTTTAGGCCTATAAGAAGTTTATTTTTTTGCCTCAAATAATGTTGTATCGAAAAACTGGTCTAGGTGTAGCGAAAATAATATATGAACTGTAAATTTTAGAATTCCATCCTGGCATGGGGTTGACCAGTTACAAGAGTACAATGGGCTTTTCACCAAGGATGAGGAGCAGCTGCAGTTCCTGTTGCAAGAGTACAATGGGCTTCTCACCAAGGATGAGGAACAGCTGCAGTTCCTGCTGCAAAAAAATGCAAATCACCACAGGCAGTATCAGGATTCCTGGAAATCCACTGTAGCACAAACTGAGCAACAATGAGTGCCTGGGCAGCATGAAACCCCACCTTGAGCAGCTAATAAATAATAAATGGGACCAAATGCCTGCCATGGGTCAAGCTTCAGGGCCATTGAGCAACATCTCAATATTAACTGATTCTTTTGAAATTTTTACACATTAATAACTCTCCTTAAAAGGATCATAGTGTGGTGTAGGAGCATGGAAAAACTATAATCAAATTTTGGCCCCCATTGTTGAGGACCACCTTAAGCAACATCATGCATGAAATAGTAAATAAAATTTTAAACAATTTCAAGGAAATATAAAGGAAATGATAACTAGAAAATCTCTCATTTGCCACAATGTTTTCAATCACCTCCAAATTATGTCATTAATGACTTGCATGCAAAAATTTGCACTATTATTGCAAAACCTTTAAAAGTATTTTCTCCTAAAAATTCCTCTCTGCATATATCAACATGTTCAATACAGTTCACATAACTGCTGACTTCCTGCTACTGCAATTCTGTTGAGGCTCCAATTGAACTTTCCAATTCAAAATAACAGATATGCTTTTTCTTTTATACAAATAAAATAGTGAAGCACATTTTCTATTATTTCAAACTATTATATTTTATTATCAACAGGATATGATACAATTAACAACAATAACTAAATTTTTGGGGTTCTTTCAAATATTTTTTTCATTTTACTACAGACCCCCTCCTGTGGGTCATTTTGCAGCAGATAGGAATCAGCAATGACCCACTGGAGGGTTATATTGAACTCAATGTGTTATTAATATTTATGTTACTTTGTAATTGAACATCAGAATCAGTTCATATCATAGTATTCTCATTGTATACAAATTTCATTCTATGAAATCATTCAACATATAATATATTGCAAATTAATTTCAATTAGGTGCTAATAAAGACTTAGGATGTAGGAAAACTTACCTCTTTTTTTATTCAAATCCCATTCCATTTCAAATGTTTTTCTTTTTTGCACAGCTCAGAAGCACTCACAACACTAGCACAAAAGTAAGTACATAACTAATGGAAGAAAAGGGTCAGAAAAGGTGATGGTACTATTCAACTATGAAGTTTTGGTGGTCAGTACTCATTTTTTTTTCAAGATAACCAGTTAACCACTGAAAAAATTATACATTTTCTATATAAAATTCCCTCAAAAATTTTTGGTTATTGTTGTTGTTCTTGACTTGCTGAAGGTGTTAAGATGACCTTACACAGGCCACCTTTCACACCAGGACATGGCTATGGTCAACAAAGTTTGATGAAGTTTCACAACTTGCAGTTTAATTACTTTGGTCAATTTGACATGAAATTAGTTTCTTTTTTTTTCTTCTTTGATCAGACACTCTTCACTTGCAGGGCTCCCCGTTACCCCTCACAGCTTCCTTATATACGTTTGTTACTTGTATGACATGTGCCCATTGCTTTAATAATGATATGTTTCATATGCCTTTACTCACTAAATTACCATAAATAAAGTTGATGATCAAATGGATGCAGAGTTTGCTCAATCTATGCTTGACTTGATCACATGACAGCCAGATACAGTAGCAGAGAAGAAATTTTTTTAAGATTTTTTATGAATCCAATGACCAGTTAAGTAACATGGAAACCAGCATTGCCAGATGGACAGTGAATGAAATTTTGAATTAGATCAGGGAATTAAAAATAAACTGATTCTAAAAAAATTTGCCAGGCAAGTATAGTACCATCAAACAGGGTAATAAGGGACGGTTTTGAGCATTTTTTGTTAATAACTTCTTACCATTAAACATTTCAAAAACAAGTTTGGGCTCATTTTAAAGCTCTTTGCAAGGGCTATCAAATTGCATCTCCAAAAAATATTCCAGATGCTATTAATAGAGTGCCAGATGCAATATAAAAGCATCCTGAATTATCCCTGGGAATGGGGTAATCTGGGACACTTGAAATAAAACTCAATTTTAAAATGTTTGAAGCATGCAAAGTGCACTCATCCATTCCTAACAGTACTCTTTAGTCCTCCTCGTCCTTGTAGATGGTGTAGATGTAGAATAACTGACATTTTCTGTTATTTTTACTTGTTTTTCCTTTGATGATATGATATTAACATATCCATATATTATCATATTATTAAAGTGATATTACAGTATCCATGGAAATGCCATTGTGCATTTACAATGACCTTGTCCACTGCAAGCGTCACATCAGCCACCAAGTATCATATCATTTCATCTGTGTCTGTAAGACCTTATGACCTTATGATGAGTTTGGGATTTCCTAGTCCCTGGTCATGCTGATGTGCTGCCTTCGTCATCCTCTGTCTCCGAGTTGTCGCTAGGCAGGTCACCCCACCCTCGGGTCCCAGATAAAACGTTGGACGTGTTCCATCTATTTGCCCTCCTTTGGGCCAGCTGATGCAAGATGCTGTTGCTTGTCACTCGCTGAGGGTAGTTTCCCATTACTGGAAAATCCGGGATCTTTCTCAGCCACTTGTCCAGTTGTCTCTAGAATGTTGCAAGGGTAAATGTTGCAGCTTACAGGATGGCTTGTAATTTCTAAACCATTTTAATTTGGTCAAGTGAATTCACTATAACAAAAGATCATAAAAACATACCTGAAACAGAAATGAATATTTTAATAACAGCCATAATATTTTTTGGAGAAACAAATCATAGTTTAGGTTAATTACTTTTCATTCTATGTTGCCTGGTGCACAATTCTATCTATGACATTTTGTGATGACTGCTGATGCATTAATTTTAAGTAAATAAATTTTTTTTCACTGAGCAAGATAAATGTAATCAAAATTTTTTGTTGTTAATTGATTTTTTGGTTAACTGGAGCCTTTGCTAGCTGAGGTTCTAATGTAAATGCATTTTTTATTTTTTTTTATTTTTTTTTTATTTTTTCATATATTTAAATATATTAAGTGGCAGTCTTTAATTTATATTGAGGTATTGTTATTCATGCTTTAGTATAAATGTACTATGAATGACAAATTGGTATATAAACTTGTTGCCTTTAGTGTGCATTAGGTTCCAATAAATTGAATGTTTTTGGTAGTATGTTGAAGCCAGTTAAATGGTCAATATTTAGCTCATTACCTTGCTCCATACAAACTTTACAAAGCTAATGAATAGACTCATCAATAATTGTTTACCCAAAAATCCCTAAGTGGTGAACACCACCTTGGCCTGTTGGCCATTATTGAAGGCAATAAGTGCCCTTATTAGCCATCCATTATGATCCATATAATGTTATTGTTAGTAGGGTAACTGCAACATAAAAAATAACACCTCAAAAATACAAAAAAATAAAAAAAATCAAATAAATAAAAAAAATCATGAAAAAATCAAAAAAATCATTGATTTTTGATTTTTAAAAAAAAATCAAAAAAATCGCCAACCCTGTTTTTAGGGGTGCCCCTTATTACCCCGGGGGGTGTCCCTTATTGCCCTGTCGTGAGGAAATGGCCACTATTTTTTAATGAACTTGAGATATGCAAATTCCGTCAATCACATTTCTAAGGAAACACCAGTGTGCAACTTTTATGCATGTAAAATTTTTTAATAGAGCAAATTTTTTCTGCTACAGACCTTAGCAGAGGTACGTTTCCAAAATCTCACTTATCAAACTTTTTTTCAAGGATTATTTAGAGATAGTAAATGTATGATTTCTTAATTTGCTTTAATAAAATAGTATAGTACTAATAGCATAGTAAAATGATAGTAGTAAAGGATAGTAAAAATGTAGATCTTTACGCCACTATTTTTAGTTTTGCAATATTTTGATTAGTTTAGCAGTCATTATTAACCCCGCCCATCCCTTATTACGCCGTTTGATAGTATTATTGAATAGTAATATTGGCATTAAAGAATAGAACATGCTTGGCCACTTGCCAATTTCTGTAATGTTCTTGACTCATCTGCTAGGGATCTGAGAGCTGGCCTTTAGACCAGATCTATCCAAAACTGATGTTGAATCAAGTAGTTCCAAAACATCCACCAATTTTCAAGGTGGGATGCACTTCTATTTAAAACATATATACAGTGTATATCACTACAGTGTTGTATTGTCATAAGTGAAAGCCAAGGTGTTTTTTAAGAGCTTTATTCAAGAAGAATGCAACATCCTGAAACAAAATTGCACTACTATTAAAACAGTACTGCCACAACATGAAGGGAATATATTGATATGTGAATATCTTGCACATACATCAAGAAATTACAAAATACTTATAAGGAGAACAGTAGTTCAAAGAACAGAACAGTAACATACAGGAACCAGTCTAATTTTAATAATAGACATTAGTTCTAGAGCAGTAACTTACTAGAATAAACTACATGTTATACAGAATACTATGTACATGTGAGTGATACAACAAAAATTTCACAAGACATTGTTTTTCATTTATGGGTACTGGAGAATTATAGAGGAACTGGGGAGTTGTCACAGATTAACAACTCCCCAGAAGCATTGAACGTTAGGACAAATGATACCTGGTTCAGTTGCCCATTACATCTGGTGGCCCACAGCATCCCATTAAACACAGTACCAGTTCTAGGATTAATGTGAAGAAAGAACTTACCTTGATTAGGATGAGATGGACAAGGCATCACCAATGAAAGTATTGTTGTTAGGTGCTTCTTTTCTGTGCACTTCTGATTGCACTATATTTAGACAGGGCATTTAGGGAATCTGAAGAATTTTGGAAGTCAGGTCAGCAGTGGGTACAAGGGCTGCAATTGAGTGAGTAAAAGAGTAGAACACAGGTCTGACAGAAAGGTATAAACAGCAGTTCATTAAGATAATATTGGTTTTTCTAGAGTTTTTGAGTAAATTTTATATAAAATCAAGGCCTGAAAGCTACAAGTGTTTCTGCAACAATGGAGTAAGCATATAAGACTTGGCTTCTCTTGAGGAGGCACTGAACCTTCTCAGCAATATGTATAAAGAAGCCTAGGTGTATAAGGAATGGTAATAAGTTGGTTAGGAATAGGATATGCAAAAGGTCAGTTGTATGGATTGGTGGTGCACATTGACGTGACTGGGCATGCTTTGTGTAGGCAGATTATGCTGTTGTTGCATGGTTTGAAGCATCAGCAGTAGACTCCTGCGTCTCAAAATAATTTTCTCGAAATGAACCGGGACAGACGAAACGAGACGAGAAAATTCCAGGAAAAAAATAACGGGACAAGGTAAAATTGGTCCCGGAATAAACGTATGAACCGAGACAAACTTCTGTCCCGGACTTAAAATTTGTGTCCTGGTAAATTATGAACCGGGACAAGACAGACCGATTTGAAATGAGACATACCAATGTAGCAGTTTTGACTATTGTTATGCGGGTGTGATGAACTCGTCATCAGCTTGTATTTGTCTATTGCAGCTACTTAGTTTATGGGGAATTAAAGTTGGTGTTTTCTAAGTTTTATTAAGCAAAGTTAAAAACAAGTTACATAGTTTATTACATGGGATCAGCAGCTTATGAGAGACATCAAGGATTGTGCCAAATGAGTCGTTAAGAAATTGCAAATTGTGGGGACAAGAAGTAGTAAAGAATTAGCTAATAAGAGAAACATGGAGTAGTAAAGAGTTTGAGACTAGAGAGGAACCTGAGTAGTCCAGAATTAGCAAATAAAGAGGAACATGGACAGGTGATGATGCCTATACTATGGTGCAGATAAATTGAATGAGCACTTGATCAGACTATTGCACTTGCTGGTTGAATTCTGTTTATACTGTAATTCTGTAATACTGTAAAGAAAATAAGAAAAGAACAATATTAACTAACACAAAGTAAAATGAATGATCTACCTGTCCACTCAATATATTATTAAAAATGAGAATAAAGATCATGAACGCAGGAAGGTTGTGCTATAAAAATAGTATTTACAACCCCCGGTAACACCAAGACGAGACGAGATTTGTTTTAATTATTTAAGACAAAACAAGTTTTTCGATTACGATATGAATCAATTCAAAAACATGGGTTGAAGAATGCCAAGTTATCCCTTTATTGCTAATAGAGCCATAGACAGTTACTAGTTAAATTGAGTTAATTGCAGATTTAGCAAAACTTGTCTAACTAACTGACATGGCAGTTAATTAGTGGTCCGACAAACACCCTAAACCTGTTGAGGTATGGCTGAGTATTGAGTAAAAAATGTTACTCTTAAGTCTTAAATAAGGCTTCGATGGCACTTTATGGGAACCATACGAGTATGGGTCGAGTTCATTACGCATTTGGAACGAGATCAGGCGCCATGGACTTGCGGTATTTTTCAAAAATTGCGGTATTTTTCAATAAACTTAGGAAGTCAGGCTCATGAATAGCTTGGAGACCGCCATGACTGCACACGCCCAACCAGCTTGGCGTCTGGGTTGAAACTGAACTTGAGCCGACCAACTGCCAAGCCCCACAGCAAGCAGTGGAAGCCTTGGCTCGGCTTGCCTTATTTCGCCCACCTCAGCCCGTTTGGCGCCATATTTGGGGGGTTTTGAGGTTAGCCGATTTAGACTCGTGAATCGGACTCTATGGTGTGTGGGGCCCTTTAGTCTTATGGTCCTACCTACCTCACCTGTTACCTGTACTGTCTGTACATGAGCATGTGGGACTGGGACATTGGAAATAATTTTAGAGGCTTCCAGTGCTTGTGCACTTGGCACTGCCCAGCCTGGTATAGGAGTCAGAAGTGAACTTGAAGGAGAGTCTAAAAAACTCTCTGCAGTCTGCCTTGTCACTATGTCTATGTATTACTTACATGTAATCTTAATCCTACCTAACCTTGCGCTTGCTGCATGACCAAAAAGCCTTTGGATACTGTGTATGTGCTGCAATTGGCAGATATCTTAACTCATTATTATTCTTATGGCAGCAAGCCCACCTGCATGGGGCCATAGTTTCCTCCCAGTTCTCAAACCAGTGACAGACCAGGGCTATAAGACAAGTAGACTAGATTCCATACCAGTAACAAACTGCCAAAAGATAATAGCGCGGTGCCGCCGTAAGTCTTCAACCAATACTTTAAGCATGCTTGCTTGATGCTCATGTCATAAGCAGGCACTCAGGCAGTTCCTCATTCAACTGAATCTACTCCGGAGTCTGGCCTATCCTCTTCGCCTTCCAACCTAACCTATTTTGTGTTCATGGTTTCACGCTGTCCCAGCTCTGTCACAAAATTCTTGCAAACAATCGCTGGCTCTACTGGCAGACTTGTACCGCCTTTCTAACTTCCTGCAGCCAATGAAGTTAGGTTAGGTCCGCTCACGCTCAGCCGGCTCAGGTTTGTTTAGGGTAGAGAAATGTTGCAACTTGTGTAGGTTAGGCGGGCCTGAAAAGGGCAGGCCGAAAGAGGATTGGCCAGATGCAGTATGGGCATGCTTACCTTTACTTTTAGCAAGCTTATTTTGTAGCTCTACCGGTAGACGTCCGAAGTAGGGGCTTTCAGCACTTGACTTCATAGGCTGTTATGCCCACTACCTAGCATTCTTACCTACGGAAAGAAATTTTTTTTTAATTAATTTTAAGACTTTGGGTGTGACGAGATCACACCTCCCAGTCTGAGCACAACTTGATTTTTCTCTGAGCCTTTCTTTCTCTTGCCAACAGTCGTTCACAGATTAATCTCTAGCTCACTCTCACCAGCCAGTGGTTGTTGTGTGAAAGAAGAGATGAAAGGATTAGTTACTGGGCATCGTCGTAGGGTGTTTACCATGAGTAACTGCTTAACGGTGACTGATGTGGCTGTGTCATTGACGATAAATATATTATAATTTCAATCATTTTATTGGAGTCTTTACATGCAAACTACAGTCTTACATGCAAATGTTTCAACTAGTTATCTATTTTTTTTTCTCAACAAGATGGCTAATACTCGAGGCATCTTTTTTTGGAAAGAAATTCACTTATGTGGACGTCATTAAATGCCGCATTAAATTTTTTTTGTTTTATAATGAAGCATTTCATCCATGATGTACCAGAGATATGTCTACCTAGATTGAATCAATGGGGCACAAAAGTTTAGCATACATTTATTTTGCTTAGTATTACTGCTGCTTTAATAAATCATTAAACGCTGCATGGACACGCTTCCAAGGTGGTATTGCTACGCAAGCAAATGTGTAGCCTTATATTTATTTTTTATCTTTTGCGTTCCTTCGCACACTGTTATGAAAATGACAACAAATTCCGCCCATTTTGAGCACTACAATGGGTGATTGATAACAAATTAAAGTGTTTCACTAATGTTTCCATTAATTTTAGAACATTTAGCCTGCATTAGCGTAGGCCACACCGGCATGACTGCTTCGTAACAAACCGTACACAAAATTCGTAACAAATAAATGTGAAATTAAATCCACATATTTCTATGCTCACAGGGCTGTAGTGGAGATTTTTTTTGCATATTTACCTCCTTTCGTTTTTTATTAAAATGATGAAACAAGTTAATTCAACCACTTTGGCACGCCCCATTTCTTTGATTCATATCAAATATTTATTAAATTAAATACGCACATTTCACAGCTCATTGTGCCAGTGCAAAAATTTTTTCGCACTCTTGCCTTATCAGGTTTTAAATTAATAATAAAATGGGTGAATTCAACCATTAAGGTGCACCAAATTCCCTCAATTCTTGATCAATAATTATGAAATTAAATGAACAATTGGGACATTTTTATCACATTACTTCAGGTTTACGTCTGCGTTCAGGTAAGGTTAATATTGGTTCCACCTGTTTTACCATTTTAGTTGAAAACGGGAAGTTGTGAAAATGTAAAAAAATCTTTGTCACAGTACAATGTTTATTAGAATTTGCTTATTTAATTACAGAATTATTTGTCACGAATTGAGGAAATGGCGTTTAACGAAGTGGTTGAAATATCCCATGTTACCGTTTTAATTGAAAACAAGCGGTGGTAAAAATGAAAAAATCGTTGCCACGGCGCTCCGGGCATTAGCGCTATAGGCTTATTTACCTTTATCAATATTGGTCACAAACTGAATGAATGGGTAGTGCTAAACTTGTTGAATTCTCCGTGCCGGGATTACCTCTGTAGCCCACTTTACGATCACTGACTTGCATTGGACAAGTAAAATTTACTCTGTCCAATGTTGTCAATTGTGTCATTTTCATCAAGAAAAAATTTATATTTTATGGAAGTACCTAATAAAATTTATGTAAAAAAACCTGGATTTTCCGATGTATTTAATACAGGTTCGAATGATCGAATATACTTGGATAAAATTTAATTCTAAAACTACAGTGTGACTTCTAATTCTAGTCCATAGAGTGATCATGAATTGCATGATCCTGCTAGTCACTTAGAAATATTGTTCTGATTATAATTGTGCATTTTTTCCATAAATGAGAAAATGCGCTAAAAAGAGATCTGGGTAAAAAAACATCGCTGGGAGTCATGAGCTGCACGTGTAGTGTACAAATTGTCAAACAAACGTTCGAACTTCGACTTCGGACTGCCGCCCCCTTATCGCCCCCCTATCGCCTTTTTCTTCTTTACCGCCCCCCAAAATTTTTCCACCGCCCCTAGGGGGGCGATATCGCCCACTTTGGAAACCACTGTTTTAAATTAATAATAAAATGGGTGAATTCAACCATTTAGGTGCACCAAATTCCCTCGATTCTTGATCAATAATTATGAAATTAAATGAACAATTGGGACATTTTTATCACATTACTTCAGGTTTATGTCTGCGTTCAGGTAAGGTTAGGATTGGTTCCACCTGTTTTACCATTTTAGTTGAAAACAGGAAGTTGTGAAAATGTAAAAAAATCCTTGTCACAGTGCAATGTTTATTAGAATTTGCTTATTTAATTACAGAATTATTTGTCACGAATTGAGGAAATTGCGCTTAATGAAGTGGTTGAAATATCCCATGTTACCGTTTTAATTGAAAACGAGCGGTGGTAAAAATGAAAAAATCGTTGCCACGGCACTCCGGGCATTAGCGCTATAGGCTTATTTACCTTTATCAATATTGGTCACAAACTGAGTGAATGGGTAATGCTAAACTTGTTGAATTCTCCGCGCCGGGATTACCTCTGTAGCCCACTTTACGATCACTGACTTGCATTGGACAAGTAAAATTTACTTTATCCAATGTTGTCAATTGTGTCATTTTCATCAAGAAAAAATGTATATTTTTTGGAAGTACCTAATAAAATTTATGTAAAAAAAAACCTGGATTTTCCGATGTATTTAATACAGGTTCGAATGATTGAATATACTAGGATAAAATTTAATTCTAAAACTACAGTGTGACTTCTAATTCTAGTTCATAGAGTGATCATGAATTGCATGATCCTGCTAGTCACTTAGAAATATTGTTCTGATTGATAAACTCGTGATTTACAGAGTGCGGGGCATTGTTAAATCAATCTTATTCACAACCATTTAACGCAATAATGACTGAACTACACCATTAGTAGATTAAATCAGCTAGAAAATTTCAATTTAAATTCATGCTCAATTCAATTTTTGTTGTTAATGCTTATCACTTTTTTAGGTCTGTAGACTTTCATTGCAATATTTTGATTAGTTCCTCGCATCTGGCTGATTCTTTCTGAGGGGTTCTTTGGATTTTTTTATTATTTTTTTAAATAAAAAAAAATCACCAACCCTGCCTACATGGTGTTTCAAGTGTCAACTGAATAGCTGTTTGGGCATACTGGCCACATGCTGGCCTGGCTATCATCTTCTTAAGGTATAGATGAGAATTTGTTCTAATTATGTTCTTAACTGTATCATCTCTGAGCAGAGTGCAGACTAATTGTATTATAAAACATGGCAAAAATAAAATCAGACAGCAAAAGTCCTAAAGGCAAAAAACTGAAAGGATTAAATAAAAAATCCAACAGCTGCCTTAATCCTGACCGAGATGTTTCTAAGGTGAGTACTGTGTATTGTATGTATTTAGTATTGCTATATTATTTCTAAGGCAAGTACAGTGTATTGTACCTATGTATTTAGTATTCCTATATTATTATTTCTAAGGTGAGAATACTGTGTAGTGAATTAACTATTTTGTTTAATGCCAAATTTGTAAAAAAAATTAAAGACTTTGCTGTAAAATTACTATGAATTGCATGCAAAAATTAAGATAGTGAGTGTAAAGGCAAGATGGAATTCTAAATAGTAATTTATTAATTAACTATCAATCCAGCTTAGTACCTTCCTCAATTAAAAAAATATCAGCTTAATATGAAATGAAAATCTAATTTAAAATTCTTCGGTCAACTATGATATGTGCGCTTGTTCATATATTATGCCTCCTAAATTCCTCTATGTGAAAAGGTTAATAAAAACTGAGTGTTTATGTTTTTAGCCTAGTTGCATTCTAGTTTCATTGCCAAATGCATACTGCCTTATCCTTATGGTTTCAACGAGGTTTACATTCTAGGAATAACCATAATTCATCTATTCATATCTGATACCACCTGGTTACTAGATAAGCTCCAAAATATTGGCTAAAAATACAGGTTAACCTAGTTTACAAATTTTAGACCCAATATAATGTGTACTTGCTCCTGTATAACCCTTACCCAATTCCAACTTGGCTGCAACTATGAGTGCACTTATGACTAAGTTTTCAAAGCTATTGTCTTGATGGTTCCAAGTAGACTGAACCATAAAATTCAATTTTTATTTTGCCAGTGTGTGTATGTGCCACAAAATACAAAATTTGAATATAATTCATGACATTTGAGTTCATATTTAAGCAGAATATATGTGTATAATTGTGATTAGCCAGTAAATTTCAGCAATGTGGAATAATTTTATGATATGTGTTTGATGGGTAGATGCAACTCTTGATTAGACAAAAAACAATCCAAGCTCATGGACAGTTCATAAAATTATTAATCTCAAGTTGTTTTTTCTTTTACTCATATAAAATTTTTCTGACTGTCAAAAATAATTTCAAATAGTTCAAAACATTGCTAAAATATAGCAGCATTGCATTCTTTTCAGAGCATTTGCCATGTAGGATATAAAATTAAAATAAGATCTGAAGCTGATTCAAGTTATGAAATGCAAATGAAATATTTTTACTTATCCTGCCTGTGCTACATTCAGGTACAACTGAAGGGGGCACCGTATGCCCGCAGCAAAGCCACCATCAAGCGGTTGCAGATGTACCGCACTGGCAAGGCTAAACGAGATCCTAAGGGAAAAATAATCAAGCCTGCAATATTTCAAGGATGGCTGCCATCAGGTATCGCAATATTTAATTTTTGAACAGATCATCTGCCACAAGTGATGTCTTGCTAAAGTTGTTATCTAGTTGGTTAATTTAATTGTAATCCTATCATATCATATACTCAAGATTCTCCTTTGAAAAAATGGTGACTGACATTTGAAATGAAATAAATTTTGTGTTTGAAACAAAGTTGCCTATGAATAGCTTGATCAACTTACTCATAATGCTGTTGCCATAAAGGAAACATCAAATTTATTTTCAGCTGAATAGGTTTTTTTTTTTGCCTTACGGTATTGAAGTCTAAATTTATGATATAAATAAGTATGGATTAATTTGATAATTAACTACTAATAACTTCTTTAACAGGAACACAGTCTCGGGTAGCCCCCCACCAGAAGTGGTTTGGCAACACTCGGGTGGTGAAGCAAGATGCCCTCCAGAAGTTCCAGACTGAAATGGGCAAAGTGGTGAAGGATCCATACAAGGTACAGGCTCAGATCATACATTTTCTGTAATCCTTGCAGGATCAATATAAGGCATGGCTTTATCCATACCACTTTGTGGAGGATCTCTGCAAGGAACAGGTCATTTAATTTAAGTACAGTTTATCCTTTTTTGGCCCCAAGTACAGTTTATCATTTTTAGCACATTTTCTCATTTATGGAAAAAGGCGCTATTGTGCTCGCCATGTCCATCTGTCTGTCTGTCCGTGCATGACTTTGCGTTTTCGTCGATGAGAAAATGCGCTCTCTGTCACTCACTGCAGTGAGTACTGAGTTATATTTTTTGGCTCTAAGTTTCTAATTCATTCTTGCTTGACTATGGGGCTGGTTACTGTGTGGATGAAGAGCTGACTGTTTAGGAGGAAGCAATTAAGATGGCCTGATGCAATGCCCTCAGTAGTGGACTTTTCCTTTACTTATCTATTATCTACTTTACCATGAAGGAATAAGGAGAAGAAGTGATGTCTTCCAAATCGCCTTTTTGTAACACATGTCACGCTGGTGATCCTTAGTATTATATTTATTTAGGCTCAGGCATCCAAAAATCTTGATGAGTGCCTGGTTTTAGAGTTATTGTGAACAATCTGATGGCTTGCACATGTCTAATTTCCTCACCTCCTACATCCCTTTTATGACTCATACAGTGCATGATGACATTCATATGGCTTATTGCTTCATGTAGTCACTCAATTAGGTAATGTCACTCAATTTAGGGTTTGTTACTCATTTTAGGCACTGCTGCATATGCAGTGGTTACCCTAATCTGATTTGCTTGATAATTAATTGTTTATTTTTGGAAAAACTTCAATGAATGTCATGACTTGTGCTTTGAGAAATGAAAGATTTTTGATAAACTATAATTTATGTCTGAACTAGGTATATATAGCTGCTTCATTGTTAACAGTGTTTATGTGTCATGAATTTTAATGCATTTTTTGTTCAAGCTATCAAATCTTGTTCTCACTATTCAATTGAACAGATTTATTGCACAGGATTTTATTCTTAGTTTATTTATAATTTATAGTTATTTATATTTAGTAATTTATTTGTTTATACTCAAAATATTTCTTCCAAAAGGTCGTGATGAGACAAACCAATCTTCCAATATCTCTACTGAATGAGAAGGCCAAACATGCTCGTGTTCACCTGCTGGACACAGAGCCTTACCACACAGTCTTTGGCAAGAAGAAGACGCGCAAAAGACCTTCTCTTTCTGTAAGTTATAAATTGTATACCATGCATTCTTCAGCAAGAAGTAGACACCAAAAGACCTCTTTCTGTAAGCTAAAATCTGTATACCACACAGTCTTTGGCAAGAAGAAGACCCGCAAAAGACCTTCTCTTTCTGTAAGTTATAAATTGGGTGTGGCGAGTAGAGCTTGCTACTAGCTATTATGCCATTCTTTATGCTATCCTTTATCTTTACCACGTGTATTGAGTGTATTTATAGTGAGCACTTTAAATGCATATGTACGTACACAAATGCAATTGCTGTAAAGAGACTGACGGAAATAAATCTCTCCTAATAACTTTTTTTACTTGTTATTGATAACAAGTAAAAAATGTATAACAAGTTTACCGATAACTAAAAGCTAAATACTGAAACACTTTCCACTATATATATAGCATAAATATGTCTATATTTTGTTTAAACACGGGTGGTTAATGGCCAGAGAATTTGTCAATTTGAGTTTTCAGGGTTGAACAATACCTATTCTTCAGATGACATTAGTTGATCAAAATGCAAGTTCAAGGGATTAATATCAATTTATTAACGACGTTTCGAATGTGATAACATTCATTTTCAAGTTACAGGAAGCATTGAATAATGTCTATACGTGCAGGCAGCAGACTGCTTGAGTATGCCAAGCAGGCTGTTCCCACTATATATATATATATACTATAACTATGTCTATACGTGCAGGCAGCAGACTGCATAGAGTATGCCAAGCAGGCTGTTCCCACTATATATATACTATAACTACATCTATACGTGCAGGCAGCAGACTGCATAGAGTATGCCAAGCAGGCTGTTCCCACTATATATATACTATAACTACATCTATACGTGCAGGCAGCAGACTGCATAGAGTATGCCAAGCAGGCTGCTGAGGCCCTGGAGCGCTATGACCCCAGCAAGGATGGATCATTGGTCAACGAAACTGACGGGTCAAAAGACGCGGCACCAGTCTGGTTTTCAAAGGTCTGTTCACTAATTTGGAATATTAACATGAATTTATTTTTATTTATTTATTTTTTTACTTTAATTTTATTAACATGAATTTACCTCCAATAAGGACGTAATTTACTACCTACTTAATAGAAAGAAAAAGCAATTGGATACCATTTACGAAAGCTGACAGATCATGGATTTTCTTTTTGGCCTCTGTTAGGCTTAATAACTCAGAAATAACTAAGTTAATAACATGGAAATAACTAAGCCAGCTTCTTGTCTCAAGGTAAATCGTGATCTAAGATTTGTGTGCCCAGTTTGGCCAGAGCAGAAGGATCTGGAGCGAGCTGTACAGAGCTGTAGTGCCCAACAATTGTGTGTGCAGATTGGTCAGAGCAAGAGGATCTGGAGCGAGCTGTACAGAGCTGTAGTGCCCAACAATTGTGTGTGCAGATTGGCCAGAGCAGGAGGATCTGGAGCGAGCTGTAAAGAGCTGTAGTGCCCAACAATTGTGTGTGCAGATTGGCCAGAGCAAGAGGATCTGGAGCGAGCTGTACAAAGCTCCACGGAGAATTGGATGCTTAATAAAGCTACATAAAGAGCGGCTAAAAATATAAATAAATATATACCTAATAAAGCTAAACAAATGTGCAGATTGGCCAGAGCAAGAGGATATGGAGCGAGCTGTACAAGGTGATCGACTCCTCGGACGTGGTGGTGCAGGTGCTGGATGCTAGGGATCCCCTGGGCACACGGTCTCTGCTGGTCGAGAAATACCTTACTGAGAAAGCGCCGCATAAGCACCTTATATTCGTGCTTAACAAGGTGGGTCATAAGTTATATTCGTGCTTAACAAGGTGGGTCATAAGTTATATTCATGCTTAACTATGTGGGTCATAAGTTGTATTCGTGCTTAACAAGGTGGGTCATAAGTTATATTCGTGCTTAACAAGGTGGGTCATAAGTTATATTCGTGCTTAAATATTCGTGCTTAACTAGGTGGGTCATAAGTTATTTTCGTGCTTAACTATGTGGGTCATAAGTTATATTCGTGCTTAACAAGGTGGGTCATAAGTTATATTTGTGCTTAACAAGGTGGGTCATAAGTTATATTCGTGCTTAATAAGGTGGGTCATAAGTTATATTCGTGCTTAATAAGGTGGGTCATAAGTTATATTCGTGCTTAACAAGGTGGGTCATTAGTTATTTTCGTGCTTAACAAGGTGAGTCATAAGTTATATTCGTGCTTAACAAAGTGGGTCATAAGCTATATTCGGGCTTAACAGGTGGGTCATAAGTTATTTTTGTGCTTAACAAGGTGGGTCATAAGTTATTTTCGTGCTTAACTAGGTGGGTCATAAGTTATATTCGTGCTGAACAAGGTGGGTCATAAGTTATATTCGTGCTTAATAAGGTGGGTCATAAGTTATATTCCTTCTTAAAAAGGTTGGTCATAAGTTGTATTTGTGCTTACCAAAGTGAGTCATTAGACCTACCTAACAGGAGGCGCCGGATAAGATGTTGACGCAATGTCTGCTCTATAAACTCTAAACTTTATTTTCTAATTCAAAATTTTCCCAAGCAAGTGGAAAACAAAACCATTTTGCTATCAGCTTTCCTTGTCATTTACATTTTGTACAGCGAACCATTAAATCCATAACACGGAGTTCCACTCATTACTTGAAGTCCCCTGAAAGAAACTGGCCTCACTGAATGTCTACACGACCAGTCTAAAATGAGTGCCGGCAGCATACCGAATAACTATTGTGGGTGGTAGTTTATGGGAGTTTATGGGTAGTTTATGGAAGTTTATTTTCTATTGTGGGTGGTAGTTTATGAGAGAGAAGTGGATAGAAACGGCCAGCTGTCAGCGAGAGTCAAAATGCTTTGGCTAGTTATTCATCAGGCTCCTGAAAACCGTAATGCCTTCAGAACATCGTAACTACCGACGAGTTGTAGGAATGATAACGTGTTCTGGGATAAGTGCTGGCCGAACTAAGAAGTGAGCTCAAATATTACACCAACCAACCATGCTTGAAGTTTTACGTTTTGTTAATTGGACACTTGATACGGAGCGACGCATGACTTCAAACAATGAGTATCCTGATTGCCTTCAAGTAACTTATATTCGTGCTTAATAAAGTGCTCCCAGTGCTATCTGCTTCCAATTTTTATTAATAAAGAGATCTCGGTGCTATCTGCTTCCAATTTTTATTAATAAAGAGATCTCAGTGCTATCTGCTCCCAATTTTTATTAATAAAGAGATCTCGGTGCTATCTGCTTCCAATTTTTATTAATAAAGAGATCTCAGTTCTATCTGCTTCCAATTTTTATCAATAAAGAGATCTCAGTGCTATCTGCTCACAATTTTTATTAAATTAATTATTTTGCCTGCTGTTTCTTGTGGTGCCTGTGTCTGAGGTTCTTCTTTATTGATAGTCTTTAATAAGTTGTTAGATTGTTGCCAACCATAAGATTACTACATAACGTCAATCTAAATTGACGTATCTGTAGTTCCCGTCTTGTAGTTTGGTATTGAATTCTTCGTGCATATGTTATTTATACAATTCATAATTGCTTTGTTGCTGCAGGTGGACCTGGTACCGGTGTGGGTGACACAGAAATGGGTGGCCATTCTGTCGAAGGAGCGCCCCACGATGGCGTTTCACTCGTCAATGAACAACAGCTTTGGCAAGGGCGCCCTCATCTCCCTCCTGCGGCAGTTCGCGGTGCTGCACAAGGACAAGAAGAACATCAGCGTCGACACATAACCGTTACTTATAACTGAGCAGGTGTGCAATGTGGCGCCCATTGCTGGCGAGACGAAGGTGTGGCAGTACGTGACGCTCATGAACAGCATATTTCTGATCGACTGCCCCGGAGTGGTCCCGCCGTCACACGAGTCCGAGGAGGACCTCGTGCTCAAAGGCACCGTCAGAGTCGAGTATGTTTCAAACCCTCAGGACTACATCCCTTTCATCATGGCCCGTTGCAAGCACTCGTATCTCTCCACTACCTATAAGGTGAGTTCAAAACAAAAGACTTGTGAGGTCATACAATAGGCGTGTATTAAATACTAGTATTGTACTAGTGACATGTGTCACGTACCAGTATACCAATGACGCATTTCGGAGCAAATTCATGCACAACAGGTCTATCTATATAAGAACCATGTCTTATGATTTGGTTCCAAAATCGGAGGTCAGTTTTGTACAAGTGAGATGTGCCAACAAATGTAAAATAAGCGGAGATAGGGCCTTGTTTCATAAAAAAGGTCTATATATAGACGGAATCTTTTTCATATGCGCACTACACAGACTATGTTTTATAAAACATCACTATGAGGGCCAATTCTGGAAAATTGGTCGGGAAGTAATAAGCAGGCAATAAGTAATTGGCAGGCAATAAGTAATAGGCAGGCAATAAGTAATAGGATATTACCACCTAGCCCCACCCACCAGTGGTCACGTAACATTCTAATCCTACCATCTGCCTCACAACGCACTAACCCCACCATTTGTCACATAACGTCCCTACCTCACCAGGTTTCGGAGTGGGGCACCTGCCAGGACTTCCTGGAGGCGGTGGGGCGTCGCATGGGGCGCCTTCTGAGGGGCGGGGAGCCCGACCTCAACGCTGTCGCCAAGCTCATTCTGAACGACTGGCAGCGTGGCAAGATCCCGTACTTTGTGCCGCCCCCGGGGCACGATGATTCGGAGTACCGCGCAACAAAACAGGTGAGCAAATACGGGCTTAAACCAATTAATGAGCTTTGGTGGTAGTACTAAGTACTGCAACCCTCTCACTGTCCAGTAAACATTATTACACAATCTGCACTTGGAACTGTTAGGGCAGCGTGAAATGTGAAGTATTTGAATAATTGTGTATGACATTGATTTATTCGTTGAGGTCTGATGACTTGCATCAGGGCTACCTCTACTAAACATCTATCATACGATATTATCCACTTGGTTGAGAACATGTAAAACATTGCCATAAATTTGCAGGTTGAGAACAGTGAACTCGAGAAGCGCACGCGCGAACGGCAGGAGGAGGAGGAGCGTCAGGAGCTGTTGAGGGCGGGAGTGATCGCCAGGAAGGAGGACCTGACGTACAGGCACTTCCCTGACATGGGCGACAGTGGTCAGGAAAGTGGAAATTCTGATGAGGAACAGAGCGCCCCTAGTGCACCAAAGCTGGTGCCGGGGGTGATTCAGAATTTGCAACGAATTGTAACATCAGTAAGGTTTGACGAGGAGCCGAAAGCTAAACCCGAAAGCGGGTCAATAAACCTTGATAATGAGACCCGCGATGATGATGTCGACCAAGTTCCCAAGGAGGGTGATGATGATGTCGACCAAGTTCCCAAGGAGGGTGATGATGATGACGACCAAGTTCCCATGGAGGGTGAAGACGAGCTATCATCTGACGAGGACTGCGACGGTGCCGCAGATTTTGCGGTACCGGCCCTTGAGCTGCAGGAATTTACGGACGATAAAACGCCTGTGGTAAGACAGACGTCGGCGGCGCCGAGATACAAGAAGCAGATGGCGGCCGCGCGGAGGAAGAGGAAGCACAAGGACGACGCGGTGCTGCAGCTCGCCGACCCTGCGCTCAACATGCGCGTTAGTGCGAAGCAGCGGCGGCGTGAGATCAGAGAAAACATGGAGAAGAACCAGCCTAAGTGCTATTACGATATTGTTAATGTCAAGAACAAGAATAGAAACAAAGTTAAGCCTGTCGACCCTGACCTTGCTAACCGAGGTCATATGAAGAAAAAACCAAAACCTTCCAAAAAGCGCTGACCTAGTGTAATAAAAAACTCCTTGTGACGAAAATTCGTTCCAATAACCTTCTTTTGGTGTGGATTTTTATGCTCTTTGACATCGGAAATTCCGATTAGTACAATTTTACTGAAACTGCACAAATTTACCCTGTTGTTGGGACACATTGAACGCCATGTGATGCAACTTATCGGTGACCGAAAAGGGCTGCTTCTTACCCCGGTCTGCGCTAGAGCTACGTTATCATTCTTTTGATCATCGTTCTTCTTATAATCTTGAACAGCTATGACTAGTAGAAAATCATAGACTAGCGCTTGAACAGTTTTCAGATTGCCACCTGCTCCGAAAATTAATATACAAGAAAATTAGAACTATATGTTGCAGAAGTACATAAATATAGCTAGGTATTCAATATTTGCAATTAAACTTTTGAAACACACTATACCTAGGTTTAGACTTGATTTTCGGTATAAGGTTGACCCACGAGAATTTCTAACTTCCATTGCCTCATCTTTGTGACGTCTTTGAGATCGAAAAACGTAAACAATAGTCCGTGCCGGCAGTCGGGCCGTGCGTCACGTGGTTTCGGTTTTATATTCGGCCTGAGCAGGTCAAATAAAATGGCACAAAAACATTATTAACTGTAACTAATCATTTTTTTACGTTACCGCCGTCACTTATAATTGATGAGTGGGAAAATAAATAAATGACAAAACGAAGATGTGCCGACGGAGGAAGGACAAACTGCTATTAGGCTAGTATTAGCTACTGCCTACTTATAGGCTATGCCAGATTTCCAGTACTAGGCCGCCGGGCCCCGCCCAGTATGCAACTGTGCACTACAGTCACTACTACCTAGGCAGTAATGGCTGCCGTTCTGCTAATGGTTGAAGGAAGGGAGGCGCCACTCCAACGAATTGATTTTTTAAGCTAACACTGTATATTCTTGCATCTCTGTCATTATTCTTGTTAGTTGTTAACATTTATCATTTGGTTGATCAGTTAGGTGTTGCCATTTTTTCAGGAAATTTATTTTGAATATTCAAAAAATTACTGAGAAGTTAGAACATGAGAATAAGTATCAAAATTTGTGATAAATTGAACATAAATAATATGCAGAAATCTAGGCCTATCCAGGCAGGCACGTGATTGAAATGGGATTAACCGGATTATAGAGAGGGCTTTTTCCATCCCTGTATACCTAATCTGTCTGTCTGTCAGACTGTGACACTCACTCAGTTACTGTTATTTTATTTTGTCATCATCTGAGCATTCTGAGAGACGAGAGAGAGTCCATTACTGTCCAAACTCCAAATTGTCCATAGGGAGTCTCGTTTGGTCACTCGTCGAAGTAAGACGTGTGGTGTATAACTCTCCTTAAAAAGCCGGTTGTGACGCAGAGCCCAGAAAACGGGTAGCTGTGTATTGAAGTGTGGTGTCGTGAAGTGTACTGTGTAGTGTCGTGAAGTGTAGTGTCGTGAAGACAACCGTGATTTGCACAAACGCCTGCGCGAAAAAAATATAATTAGATTGATTTACGCGAGAAATTTCCCCGTTTATATACATCTTCCTGAGTGTGGGGTTGTCCCCCATGTCCCTTATGATCTACCTCTGATTCTGAGTATGAGGCTATGGAATTTTGGAACATGCCAGGCTAAATTGTAGCATATGGCCTGGAATTGGGGTGTACCCCTGACCCATGGTCAGGAAGATGTGCCAGGTGCGCGGGAATTTATATTGTCATTTTAACGACCTGCACGGTGCGCCGTGCGCCGACAGCGCTGTACTTTTAGAAAGCTAAAATAGTTTAAATATGGACGCGCGGCAATGCAAATTACGTAATCACACTGACCGTACACACAAACCTGTATCCGCACTGTGTTGTGGTTGGATACGAGTTAACTAGATTGCTACCGCATCAACTCAGGACTCAGGTTCTAAGAGTCATAATCTCTCTTCCAGCAAAGTTTGCGAAATTCATAATTAGCTGCATAAAATACTCTCTGCTGTGGTGTTCGAGTTCCACTGACAATAATAAAATGTAAGACATGTCCGGGTTACTTCTGACTCTTCCGGTTGTCCGCCTTGTCGGATACGGAACGTACGGTAATCGTAAACTGTGGCTGTTATACATACGAAATGTAAACAGACAGTGTTCAGTGTTGCCATATGACTTCTTCTAAAATAAAGATGGCCGGGATTACGCGAACACGTGCGCGAAGATATTCAATTTTCATTACATTGCGCAAACTGTGCACAGCAATAGCTTAAAAAAAGTGAAAATGCACGGGAAAATTCACCAAAAACATACATCATCCTGAGTGTGGCCCCTGACCCCTCTATGACTGAATATGAGCGCCTCAGCACCAGAATCACAGTCCCCGGTTCCCATTCCCTCAGTCTTGCTTCATGGCAAATAAATGGTAATAACTGGCAGTCTGACACCACCTTCCCTCCAGGGCGCAGAAAGTGGGTGAATATCGAAAGATATTTGGCGACGCATCAGCAGCAAAATTTATGCCTTCTGAAGATCTTTCTATCACATTTGGATTGAAATTATTGCATTTTAGAAACACTTCAAAATTACTGCAAACCTGAAAGTCTGCAAGCACACACAGTAAGGTTTCCGGTACGCCGGATGGATCAGGATGCACGATGCACCGGATGCAGTGAAGCTTGTCTGGAAATCAATGGCAATGTGGAAGTGTTGCGGTGCATGGAGTTGGAGAGTGAGGGATATGCTATCAAAGCTGCTTGCAGCACTTTCTTATTAAAAATTACCCAGTGACGGATCTTGAAAATGGCTGGTGATGCTTTGGGCTAAAAATCCATATCTTGGCAACGCTGCTTGGCAGCTTGCGCCCTCTGCACCCTGGCCCTCCCCCCTCCCCTCCCTGAAAGTGGAGTGCTCCGGTGGTTGAGGTGGAGCTATGCAACTGTCCACATCCTTGAATTACACTATGACCTGCATAGTTGCATAAGATTGCTAAAACAATCCTAAAACTAGAGTTTTCTTGTATAAATACAAGTAGTCACCATGCAGAGTGGAATTCTAAAAATTATGGTTCATATATTAGTATTTTTGATCCACCACTACCACTTTTTTGGTCCAAAAATGTTTTAGTTGGAATAGAAAGGATGAAAATAGGGGGATTAAAGTTGCACTTGAAAGAATTAAGAATGAAGGTTGCAAGTTGCAACACTCTGAGATTGCAATTAGACTAAATAATAATTCATTAGCATATTAATGTGAGAATATATCACCTATCCGGAATTCAACACACCACACTGACTACATGTATCACATTTATTTTGTATTATCATATATTAGATTTTGAAACTGACCTAATTACCAGCCTGGATAAATTTTTAATATATGAATTATCATTTCTAAGATTACATCCTAAACTTGCCCATTAAAATTTCAAAAGAATACAAATAAATTTCTTATATTGGTATGCTTTTCAGACTGACATGTTGTCCTTCTTTGGCCTATTGGCTATTGGCCTTCAATTAGAAAGCTTGTTGCGTGTTCACCTGATCATAGTTGCATTTCAATTTACCTTGCAACAATAATGAAGAAAATGTGTTTGAAAAATTTACATTGTGAATCTTCTTTTCAGGTGTAAATATAGCAAAACACAATGGGAAAGTTACCTCAAAAGAAGTATTATAGGCAACGTGCACATTCTAATCCCATGGCTGATCACAGCTTTGACTAGTAAGTTATTATGATCTCGTTACCACAATACCATGGTCCTATTGCTACCTTGGCAGGTTGGTTCTTTTTCTTCTTTTTTTGGATCTGCTTTTTTAAGACTCTGTTGTTTACCACCCGCCTCGCATCTGGATTGCCAGTGGTAGCATGACTGAAGTGGTCTGTGCATAAAGGCCAGGTTACACTTTGAAGCTGTAATGGTTGTTTTGTAAGTTCATCAAACTACAGTAGTACTATATTAGTAACAGTGAAATGTTAGTAGCCCTAACCTATCAGGAGGGGCTACCTAGACTAGACAGAGAGCAAAGGCCTGATGGTCCAGCTTGGGGTGATGAAGCCTGGAGCATCTTTATAATAATCCAGCCATGGGACAGCACATGATATGATTTCAGCCTGCTGTTGGTTGCTATCCATGCTAGTCTACTTGAAAACTACCATCAGGGTTGCACTTCAGAGGGGACTTACTGTCTGGAAAATTTGTGTAAACTCTTAGAAAAATTCTGTACAAAAATCATATTTACAATAAGGCATGTGAGAGGAAGAATCCTTCCAAAAGCATTGTGCTTGTAATAGTATCAGAGGGATGGTTGAGTACCTCTATGTTCTTTTTCCAAGTTCTTTTCTTAGCATTTCAGTCACAGAACCAGTAACATGCTCATTAATCAATGCTTCTAATAATGTAGCATGTTGTTGAAATAATTGTTTTCCCTTTTTTAATCAAATTCAAGAATGTAAATTAGTCCCACTCCTCGCTTTCCCAAAAGTTTTCACAATTTCCTTATCTCTTTGTCTATTGATGGTAACTTATTTCCTGGTCTTTAGATACAAATATCATTGACAACAATTAATGTATTTGTAAACAAAAAATTTCTGGGAATCAGATAGTGATTTAATCTAAGCATATTTTCCAGTCCACTGTGTCCAAGCAAGATGGATTGGAAGTCTCTGTATCCAGACTATGCAACTTCAGAGGACCAGAAGGTGGAGTTTGCAGATGTTGGGTGTGGCTACGGAGGCCTTCTTGGTGAGAGAAGTAATATTTATTTATTAAGATGCTTGTAAACAGAGACAGCAGTGGTGGTCACTACAGCTGTCAAATATACTAACTGCCCCCTATTTGTTATACTACTGGGCATGTTTAAAGCATCATTGGGTCCTTCCATTGCTAGTACAACTTGAAAATTGTACAGGCATTTACTACCTTGCCCATGTACAAGTACTTTCTGATTAGTTGGCAAAAACTAATTACTTTGTAATAACTAATTAATTAGTACTGTTAGTATTAGTAGGTAATATGATAGGTAATATGATAGTAGGTAATATGATTGGTATGATGGATCCAGTATCAATGAAATCCCCCATGTGTAATTCATGCTCACTATGAGCCACATACATGCAAAATTTGCAGATGCTTCTTTTTGCTAATTTTGTCCAAATATATTTACCTGGTATATATAATATTTAATAATATATACCTACCTACATAATAATATATGTTTCCTAATAAGACATAAGTTTCCTTGAGTTAGAGTGCAGACTTCACCATGAATTAATGTTGCATTACAAATTTGTTAATGAATGTTCTCTTTCAGTGGCCTTGTCACCTCTGTTCCCCAACACTCGCATGCTGGGGATGGAGATCCGTGTCAAGGTGGCAGACTTTGTAACAGACAGAATATTAGGGCTGAGAACTCAGCACCCTGGCCAGTACAACAACATTGCCTGCGTCAGGACCAACGCCATGAAGTATTTACCCAACTACTTCACTAAGGGCCAGGTGCTGCTTCTTTTTGCTAATATATCCTTCTCTCTTCTCTATATTAACTCAACTACTTCACTAAGAGCCAGGTGCTACTTCTTTTTGCTTATATCCCTCTCTCTTCTTTATATTTACCCAATTACTTCACTAAGAGCCAGGTGCTGCTTCTTTTTGCTAATATATCCTTCTCTCTTCTCTATATTTACCCAACTATGAAGTAGTTCAATATCTGTGAAATACCTGAAACTATTCTGTCAAGTTTTAAATTGAAAAATGAAACTTCTGTCTAGCTATGTATTCATAAGCAATATTCATTGATCAAACCATCTATTCTTCATGCTAATTGAGTAAAGAGTTTTCCCTGTTTATCAAAAATATCCATGTAGGTAAAGAACTAAATAAAAGTTGCAGTGTACAATGAATATGTAAATTTTTTAATTTTATCTCTTTGCGATTTTTCAAATGAGCATTTAGTAACAAATTGGTTTGTGAACAAGTAATGTAATATACAATTAATAAGTGAAAATATAAACAATGATAATGATAAATAAGAATAATATAAATGTTGAAGTTTGAAACCAATGTTATTCGCAGCTGAGCAAGTTGTTCCTGCTGTTCCCGGACCCGCATTTCAAGAAGGCCAAGCATAAGTGGCGCATAGTGAACCAGACCTTGCTGGCTGAGTACGCTTATGTGCTGAGGGAAGGCGTGAGTAGTGCTGAGGGAAGGCGTAAGTTGTGCTGAGGGAAGGCGTGAGTTGTGCTGAGGGAAGGCGTGAGTTGTGCTATGAGAACGCCTTGGTTGGGCTTCAATTTTAGAAAGCATTTTACAACATTATAATCGTACCAAGTTTAGATAAAATTGTACATAAGCAATCAGCGTCAGTCTTGCTTTGCCAAGACTCAATGGCTTGATTTCTTGTTAAATTGTATTTACGTAGTTACGAGCAGTGAGAAACGTTACCATTTTATAAAGTAATCTTACTAAGATTAATTAATATTATTAGTGTTAAATCCTAATATAAGAAATGATACTCTTGCATTTGTCAGGTTTATCAGTGGTAGGCAGGGTGAAATTCTCTGAATGTTATTTCATATATTCAAGATCTAACATAATCACTTGCTTTGTTTTAAAAAATATAAATTCACCTATAAATGGAAAGTTAAATTTCAGTTTTTTATCCAATATGGTGTATTGTACCTGTTCATATATTATCACTCCCGAATTCGGAATTTCACCTTGCTCTCAAGATGATAAAGTTACACTAAGTTAATATCTTTTTGCGAATTTTTTTTATTATGATAATTGAAATGTGCTGGTTTTCCAGGCAGTAGTGTACACCCTCACTGACGTTGAGGACCTGCATGTTTGGATGAAGCGACACTTCAGCGACCATCCGCTCTTCTGTGCCGTAGACCAGGCAGATCTGGTGAGTGCTGCTGTGCAACAGCAGTGAGACCTCGTAATAAGTAACCTCAGTCACCACAACACTTATGTCGCCGGAATTCAATAGATCAATGTTACATCCAGAAGTGAACCACAACTTTGGAACGCGTTCAAAACAACTTTGTAGGCATAATGTAGTAATAGAACGATAAAATCGCAGTTCTGACCTTGAGGCTGTGCCTTCTGAGGCCTAACCTTGAGGCTGTGCCTTCTGAGGCCTAACCTTGAGGCTGTGCCTTCTGAGGCCTAACCTTGAGGCTGTGCCTTCTGATGCTTAACCTTGAGGTTGTGCCTTCAGAGGCCTAGCCTTGAGGCTGTGCCTTCTGAAGCCTAACCTTGAGGCTGTGTCTTCTGAGGCCTAACCTTGAGGCTGTGCCTTCTGAGGCCTAACTTTGAGGCTGTGCCTTCTGATGCCTAACCTTGAGGCTGTGCCTTCTGATGCCTAACCTTGAGGCTGTGCCTTCTGATGCCTAACCTTGAGGCTGATGTACATATCAGCCACAGCATGATTGGCTAGTGGTGAATAGTGAATTGTCATACGCATGACTAGCCAGTGATCACTATCCTCATGGCTGGCGAGCTTATCATCTCATGGCTGGCCAGCTAATCATCTCATGGCTGGCCAGCTAATCATCTCATGGCTGACCAGCTAATCATCTCCTCATGGCTGACCAATAAATCATCATGTTGAAGTGTTACTATTAACCTTCCACAACTTAGTTCTTCATAGTCACGTAAATGTTATTTAATTTTCTTCAAGTTCCGTTCAACAACTTCCACCATTACTTCTTGTAACAACGTTCCTGGAGCACGATGGCCAATCGACTATAATTATTTTTCTGCAAATACATTCGTTAGTCAATCCTATTGGTATCTAAATGCCACGTAACGATAGTTACCGGTAGTCTGTAGGACAAACGTTTGAGACAAACAGATTAATGGTAGTAGTGAAAGATAGCCCAGGTGTCGGTTCAAATGTATTTACAAGTAACCAAATTGAACAGTATGAACAAGACATCTATAATCCAATCGCCATGAACAAAATATCAAGCAAACTTATCAAAAAGTTTTTAATATTGAAAACTCCACTTTCCGTTCTGATCTCTACGATATTATTGATAAAAATATAATCGTTTGAAATTAACTATTTTCGGGGAGAAGGAAACAATAGCCTAAATTATAAACTACGGAACAATTGCGACCGAGCACATCAAGTCAAAGAAATGTCAGGACAGGACGCCTGCCTAACCCACAACGACAGCACGCAGGATAGACGCTGTCATCAAAGTATGAAATCAAACTTTAAACATCAACACTTCTCAAAGCAGCCAGGGAGGCATCTCATTCCTCAACACTACCAATCACAAGGGAACTACCAAGCTTCCTCGTGAACAACCCAACATATTGAAAAAGTCTTCTACTTCTATACATATTTTGCGTAATATGGGACCATAAAAGCTTTGGCTTTATAGTCCAATAAGCAAATAACGTATATGAATACGTTATCCAATAATGTACAGTGAATTCATTTGCTGGTAAGAAATTCTTAGGTCCTCGCGTCAATATTCTGAAGTAGTTTACGGAAGCATGATAGTTTCTACAGGCGCTTAAACAACCCAAAACAAAAATCCATCTCCAAACATCTCCATCACCTTATGTCTTCATATCTCAGAAATAGCACAAAATTAAAGATTTCAAATTTTCGCGAGACCCAAAGTCAATATGGACTGTATATGCAGGTATAATATTCCTTTCCGTGACTAACTTGTTACTCGAGAGTGACAAACAAGACAACAATTAAGAGTTGCCGTGCAATTATATACAGGAACAAAGAGGATAAAGCCGACGTTAAGAACGTAAAGTTTAGCTCACCACTCGTCTATGCTAAGTGAAACTCACCTAATCTGTCCCTCGAGTAAAGTTGTCAACTGCCAAGGAAATTTACCGGACCTCGTCTCTTGATCAAGTTCTAGTAAGAGAACATTCTTACGAGGGAAAATTCATGACCAGGGCCCATACTTTCAAAAAAAAGTTAAGAGATCGTAAGTTCATCAACCAATCATTGACGGCCTTTCAAGCAAAATCCACCAATCATAGACAAGAAAATAGAGCGTAAGTTTCTTACGTTCACTTAGCGAGTTTTGAAAGTATGGCCCCAGGACAACATGTGGAACATCTACAGCTTGCTCAACTGAATTTAATATCTCGCTTATGGGCGGTAATAACGTAACATCGTGTCTAATATTCCCCTCTTGTATCTTAACTGCCAAAAATAACCACAAACGTATGATGTTGACATGCATTTTGTTACAAACCATAGTATTCCTTTGGAAAAATTAAGGGAAAATAGACGACGGCAATTCGAACAGGAGCTCTAAAACAATGCAATAAAGAGAGCTATTAAAAATAAAAAATATCAGCCCTCGGAAAGTTTAGAACTCTGCAATATAAGTGCATAATATTAACCTTAGCTTAGAGACAATGGCTGAAAATGCCATGGGTATATACGCAACACGCACGCCAGCACCGACTGATCAGTCAAGGCTAATTATATACTAATCGACTAATCAATCAGAACTAATTAAACTGGACTTGTAAAGGAGGACTGGACACTACAGACAAAATCGGATGATGAGACCACTGTACTGGCGTTTACATAAGTATGCTAATGAACGAGATGCGTTGAGATGCAAGTTCATTATTTATGGGTGACGTTTGTGATGCTGGTGTAGAAACTTCTGGGACTCACGATGCTATTCGGAGTTACAAAACAAACTATTTTTGAGATGAAATCTTGAGGCTGCCTCTACAGCAGCAAATCTATAGAAATGAAATCTCGGGTACAAAAACTTTGATTTCAAATTGCAGGCATCACGACGCTAACACTTCCACTGGGACTAGGACGATTGTAATATATACAATTCTCTCCTGAAAACATTGAAAAACTCTCTAGAAATAATACTTTCCTTTTCCGAAACTAGAAAAACTATTTCATCATTTCTGTTCTAAGTTTCATTACCCTTCCACAGCATACCACGCTAGTTCTTAGTGTTTTGCAAATTAATTCGTCCGTTTTTATTCTGTTAATTAATTCCATTTAAACTTCATAACACTTTTTCCAGACGCTAACAAATGACATTTATTTAGCGTTGCACGATTCGCTATTTTGTTTCCATGATTCTCTCTGCCAGTTTTCCAGACAAGATCACAAGGTTTGCACAAAATTTCCAAGAGTTTCATTTCTTAAGCACCCGGGAGAAGTCTGACAGCCTGAAGGTGAAGATCTTGCCAGCAACTGCAGCGTCAGTCTTGCCAGCAACCGCAGCGTCAGTCTTGCCGGCAACCACAGCGTCAGTCTTGCCGGCAACCACAGCGTCAGTCTTACCAGCAACCACAGCGTCAGTCTTACCAGCAACCACAGCGTCAGTCTTACCAGCAACCGCAGCGTCAGTATTACCAGCATGGTGTCGCAGTCAGAACGGCCGTTCCAAAGCGTCAGTCTTGCCAGCAACCACAGCGTCAGTCTTGCCGGCAACCACAGCGTCAGTCTTGCCAGCCACCGCGTCACCATTAAGACCATCGAGGAGCATCAAGGTTGTAATGGGTGTATTGATGCATTGATTTACCGCAACGTTACTAAGGACAGGTGGGATGCATTCTGGCACCTCCGGTCCGACCCGTGATGTTTCCATACAAGCATTTGAGAAGTTGCCTTCTGCTGTCAAGCCTGACATTTTCATAAGTGGTTCCCTCATGCTGTGACCATCCATGTTGCGAGTTGTCGCTTCTTCTTCCTTTCCATGAGGAGCTTTGATAGACTGGAACGTACTCAACGTTGCCTCAGGAACTGAAGTTATTTTTTGGGCCGATAAAACCTGCAGGCCACCACGTGAGGTCTCGTTTGACTTAGTTCGTTCATCTTGCTCGTTTAAAAACAACTCTTCCCCTTGGTGTTTGGTTAGTTCTAGAGGTGAATCTGCATAATGAACTGACGCCTCTGAGCAATAATTGGCAGTACTTTTTATGCTACTGGCACCTTGGAAATTTTCAGGATTATTTTCAGTTTCGTCTAATTTGCCTTCTACGGTCTCTTCCAAGTCATAGCTTGCAGTATCTACCGTATCTTTTTCCACCAATTTTTTCAAATATTCATCATCGTCTGCAGTACCTTCCAAATCACTGGCTGCACTATCTTCAAAATATTTTTCAGCTTCTACAAATTCATCATCAAACGCTTCAACCTCATCATCTGCTTCACTGCCGTCACTGTTCTCTTCACAATCACCATCCTCAAAATCACGTGTCCCCATCAAAACTTTATTGGATTCATCCTCGCACCCGTCGACGCACTCGACTGCACTTACAAGTTGGCTCTTGCTGTTTACTTCTTTGTGAAACGCGGCCGTGGGGGAAGCAACACTTCGTTCGTTGGTCGTGTGGTTAGAAACCTTGTGTACTGGAGCTTCATCTTCGTCACTATGCCCTGCTTTCTCGAGCTCGAGATGCTCAGAGGCCGTTTTCCTGCCGATGGCCTCAGGACTGCCCTCACAATTCCCCTCCAGCATCTGAAAGTCAGCGTGTGTGTTCAGAGCTTCTTTTCGGTCTCTAGGCTCTTCATCCACGAATGAAGGGCGTCGTTCGTAACTCATAGCCTCATTAATTAAAGAAGGGCTTTCTTCGTGTGTTGTAGCTTCATTCATTGAGTGGTGATCTCCAAAAGTTGTATTTTCATGTAACAACAAATGGTGATCGCTGTAATTTGCAGTTTCGTTCATCAAAGAATTCAGCAGCTCATCTTTAACATCAACATCAAAAGATTCATCTAGCTCCATGAAGTGATTGATCGAAGTGCCATGCAGATCATAATCAAAATCTGCTGATTCGTCCAGCTTTATTCGCTTGGCTTCAAGTGTTTTTTGATCTGTAGAGAATCCCTCAAAGTCCAGCAACGAATCCTCTTCCATAAAGCCAAGGAAGTCAAAGTCGCTCACATAATCTGCGGGGAATAACGGCTACATTAGCTACAATTGGATTCAAATTTACACTTCAGTCTCAAAATATGCCGGTGAAAATGGCTACACTGGCTAAAATTTGCCTTGAGTAAAGCTTGTGATTCGTAAAAATACTATTTGAAATCTGCTATCTTTCATATCGAGATAAATACGAGTATGTGGACCATCTCATCAACAATATTCCGGGATTAGTCTTGAAATCTTCACACCTCGCGGTTTGTGTTGTAAAATTTATACTTACAGATATAATGGAAAATATAAAATGTTAACTTGAAACTATAATAAAGGAATATCGTCACTTGTTTGTTTGAATTGCTAGTTTACTAAAAACTTAAAAGCAAAGACAACTCCACAAATATTCATACTATTTATATAGAAAACGTTTCAGAGTCCAGCTCCATCATCAATTCAAGTACTCTTAGAACACAGATAAAACAGTATTTAGTGCAGTCAAAGAAAGAAATAAGTGATAATAAAGAAGATATAGAAAACGTTTCAGAGTCCAGCTAAATCGTCAGTTCAAAAATTCTAGAACACAGATAAATCAGTAATTAGTACAGTCAAAGGAAGAATAAGTGATGATAAAGAAGAACAGTAACTCACCCATAGACCTCATGCGAAGATTCCTGCTCAGATGTCTAGAGGACGCAGCCGGCCGACCCTGAAAAATTATGACTTATTGTTAGTGACCAATTTAGTCCATCCATTATTACCCCATTCAATCCAATTCATTATTCGGTCCAAATTCAGTACATTCATTATAAGCCCATTCAGTTCAATTTATTATTACGACCGTTACACTGCCAACCTGTGATGGCTTCAGGCTGTCAAGCACTTTTACATATGTATTTTTATAGAGTTTAAATGTACTCTTGTTTTGTAGTGGTTCGACGTGCAACGGTTAAACCAGATCAGATAAATTGCACATGAATTGCAAACACAGCAAAGAAACAGGTGTGATGTAGGCAGGTGTGATGTAAAGCACAACTAGCATTGAGGGGCTTGACAAGACTGATGTAAACATACAACTTACCATGACAGTCTTGACAGGTCTGATGTTTTTGCATAACTCAACTTACCATTAAGGGTGTGGCAATTCTGATGTAATCATACAATTTACAATGAAGGGAGTGGTAGGTCTGATGTATTTGGACGACTGAACTTACGACGAAAGGCTTGCTATGCTTGGGTCCGATGTATTCATACAATTTACAATGAAAAGCCTGGCATGTATGATGTACTTGTACAACTCAACTTACCAAGAAGGGCTTGGCAGGTCTGATGTACTCATACAATTTACAATGAAGGGAGTGGTAGGTCTGATGTATTTGGACAAATCAACTTACGATAAGGTCTTGGTAGGCTTGAGTCTGATGTACTTGTACAACTCAACTTACAATGCCAGTCTTGACAGGTCTTATGTACTTGTACAACTCAACTTACCATGAAGGGCTTGACAGGTCTGATGAACTTGTACAACTCAACTTACCATGAAGGACTTGACAGGTCTGCTGTACTCGTACAACTCAACTTACCAAGAAGGGCTTGGCAGGTCTGATGTACTCGTACAACTCAACTTACCAAGAAGGGCTTGGCAGGTCTGATGTACCAACACCTTCGTCTGTCAATGCCAGCTACATTTCCTCAATTGCATTGGCAGTAATTCTTCTCCTAAGGTCATACATTCATACTCTCATTTTTGCTTCCACAAATACAAGTGGACAGCATTGGCAGTAAAACTAATTAGTAGCTGCAACACAGAAACAAATGTCATATGCAATACCAATGGTATTTTAATGCATCACAGTTTTGCACAGGATTATAGTTTTATTTTTCCTATTAAAGAGAAGCATATAGGAACTGCAGCTGAGAAGTACAAAAATAGAATGTTGTAAAATCCCATTCTCAATTTAATACACATACTCTTTACATACGTATATGATGTAGAATATTTAAAAATTTATATATGTATAAATATGAAAAAGATCATTGTAAAATCATGTTTACATTAGAAAACCAAGTATATATGATTTTATGAACAAAAAAATTAATAAAAAAATTGCAGCACTACCTGCATATCGAGTCACTGCCCTGGTAGATGACAATAGACTACCAGATTTAACTCACAAAATTAGCCATCAATCAGAGGTATCTAATGGCAGAAAATATTACCCAATATTACCAAACTCACAGTACTGAAGGATGTTGGCATAGGAACGCAGCTTGATTTTCTCAGGGGAGTAGTAGTATGTGTCCACGCTCACTGAGCTGTGACGAGCCTGCCGCGACACCACCTCCCGGCGCCAGCCTGCAATGTCACGAGCCTTCACTACATGCATCAAAAAAAGCTCCATACTTGAGGCACTTCTCCTGATAAGTACATATAAATATATATTATTAGAAGATGGCAAAACTTTCGACTCATTGAAAATGATAATTCATTCTCTGGCCAATAATTGTATGCATATAAATATATTGACAATTTTCTTATTTGTTTTTTTTTTTTTCAATAGATCGAACAATATTTTTCATTTTCACTGGTAAATCAATAAAGCGAATTCTCTGGTCTTCAACAAAACCTGCTTAAAGGAACAACTTTTGCCAACCTATACTAATATAAATATACCTGTATATAGGTATATTTATATTAATCGTAAATAAAAAGTACGCTCTGGTCTTCAACCAAACCTGTATAAATGAAGAACTTCTGCCTAACTACACTAGTATATAGGTATGTATACTGTAAGAGTTTACATAATGGCTAAGCCGATTTTTTTTCAGACTCTACCTCAAGTTCATTTTAGAGTCCTATATACCGGTATATAAGTAGACCAGTAAAGTCTCATGGATACCATCATTATCATACACAAGAACTTGGTCATAATAATCATTTACTTGCTAAAAAGAAGAAGCTAACAAGATGGCTTCTTGTTAAATTGTCAAATTCAAGATGGAAATGCCTTCAAAGAGAGAAAGAAAGATTTCCGACAAAAAATTCAATAACTATTATTTATCAACATGTAAATGACCTTACAAGCTCAGAGTTTCTTTCTCTTAGTTAGCATTGATAATCTTTTATAGTTAGAAACGAACTTCATCAACTAACAGAACAACATCACACCAGCACACTAAGTCATTAGATGGGGTAGCAAATAATGTTACATTTTTACCATGAATTTGAACTCTATTTCAATGTGAAGATTTTGAAATTGACAAGTTAGTAGCTCCAACTTATTTTGTAGCATCACAAACTCACCTAACAAGTAAGGTAGCTCCAACTCCTCAGCACGCATAACAAACTCATCAGACAAGCAGCCATAATTTTCCAATGGTATAGGTAACCGAAGTCGCAAGTTTGCTCTCTTCTCCTTGACAGCTTCAGCATCGACACTGCCACATTTGCTGCTGCTAAGTCTTCTGGGAGACTCTTTGACAGGCGCATCACATATGGAGTCCTTTGATGGGTTAGTCTGAGGTGAAGATTTCAGATGCTTGCGCTTAGTGTACTTGCGTTTCACACGCTCTTCCTCAACACAAGTTTTGGTGCTGCCAAACCTAAAAAAAATATCCTCGGGTTAAAATTATAGAAATTGTGAAAATTAGTGAATTAATATGAAAGTCAAAATAAAAAATAAATTACAATATTTCAGAATAATATTTTAAGAATTTGAATTGGTTTATGTTTATCCCTGAAAGCTCAATTGTTCATTTATGTCCCAGTCTTGAAGCCCTGTTATATAATTCAAGTTGATTTTCAATCTATTCCAGTTTTAATACAGCTTAATTTTATGAGCTATCTTACTTGGCAGCAACGGCAGTGAGGTCCATTTCCACAAGGCGCTTCTCTTCATACTGTTGAGCCCTAGCAAGAAGTTCTGTGTAGCGTTCATAACAAGAAGAAAAGCACTCGGTTTTCAACGTAAGAGGGCTTTTCAGGAAGACGTTTGTAAAGAGACTTCTCAAAGCACCCTTAGGAACTGGAGCTAGCGGGTCCATGCAAAGCTGAAGGATGCAGTTGTACACATCAGAAGGAGAACCATGCATTTCAGCCCCAAGTGTGTCAGGCTGGCTCTCTATGATAGTCTCCATCGGCTGATTTTGATGGAGCAAGTCAAACTCAGAGTTGCTGAAAGACATTTCAAGACTGCTGTTTATGAAGCTATGCACGCTCTCAATACAATTGGCTGTGGCAGACACTTCCTCTAGGAAGTTGGGATATTGAGTTTCAAAAATTCCTTGATGATCAATATTTACTTTTCTTCCATCACTCAAGTTTTTAGTTCCAACTGAGGTTTGCATGGCAGCACCTACTTCTGAAGACATTTTACCATCAGGCATGTTTTGATCAAATAAACTGGACTGCATTGCATCACAGTCACTATCATTGGCCTCAGAAGCTAGTATCTCTTCAGGCTCACTATTTAGCTCATTGCTGCTGTACTTAGCTTGTCCTGTAGTCAACCAGTGGGTGATCACATCTGACATTGTCAAGTGGAGAGCTGAGTCTTTTGACACACACTTGCTGCCATGCCTTAGCACACAACCTGTGCTGGGACTATCACTCAATAAAGCTACAGCTTCTTCAAACATTGTTTCATCCAGGTCTTGAGATGCACATTCATTAATTTTGTGAGTCGTGTAATTTTCTGGGGAAATTAGAGTATTTCTTGGACTAGATTGATTTGGCTTTGAGTTTTGACAAATTTTTCTTATGGGCAATGAAGAAGAATCATGCTCTACTAATCTTGCCAAAGGGAGCTTAAATTCTTCTTTGCCTTCTTCATCGTCTTCTCCATCAGTTAGCTTGAAAAAATCTACAGCATCACTAAGAGCATCCTGCAGACTTGCAATTTTTTTATGGCCGGCATCTTTATTATTCATAGGTATTTCCTTTACATTTCCAGGGTGGTCATAATCAACCTTGACTGAAATTATGTTATCAACTGGTTCTGATATTAATACCTTTTCCCTATCAACTTTTCTGGAATTGATTCCATTGGTGGCAGTGATTGCATCATTTTCCTTATTGTTAAAGGAGGTTTTATATTCATTGTCTTCAACTCCAGGCATTGTTGTCTCAAAAAAACTTAGAGCATCATTCAGGGCATTTTGCAAATTTGTATGTTTTTCCTTGGAGTTGTTTGCTCGTCTTTTCAAAACTTTAGAGAAAGATAAATGTGTTGTCCAAATTTCTTGTTTAAGTTCTTCAGATATAAGTTCCTTTTTATCAGTTACCATTGGTGTTGATGAATTAACTTGATAATTTTCCTTGCCTGATTCAGCATGAGGAAGAGAGTGTACTGCACCTGGAGCATCATCAATGGGTTCTTGTGTTTTGACAACCTGTGCGGAAGCACATTTAGGAGACTTGCTGGAGAGACTGTCTTCTTTGAATAGGTTTTGATCTATTGCTTTTATGCTAGAATTGTTTTCATCTATGGAAGGTTCTTGTTTGGATCTCTTCATCATTTTTGGCCCATCAGAGTGTTTCTGACTGAATGTTATAGTGCTTGCATTTCTTTCAGTCTGAGGCTGTTCTGGACAACATTCATCAAAATTATCTGTCACTTCATTGAATTCATTGCTAACTCGACTCACTTCATTACTTTCCAATGTAAAAGAGTCATTTTTTTGAGCTTCATCTACTTCAGAATTATAGCAGGACCCACCAATTTCTGACAACTCACTTGTAGAAAATTCATCAGTACTAAACCCACAGAATGATTTACTTCCTTCACTTCTAAAGGAATTCACATGTTCCAGTACTTCTAGCTGTTTCTTCACAAATTTGTCTTCCACGTCAGAAAATCCATCAAAGGAAAGGGCAGATTCACTGCACTCACTGGGAAAAGATGGCAAGCCCACACAGATGCTATCATCAACTTTTTTTACTACTTTGGGTTCAGTGATGGAGTCCACTTCTTTCACTTCATCAATGTAATTTGTTCTCAGCTTCTTAGAAGGTCTACCAAGGTCTTTAGGTTTGCCACTGAAATTTGCTTGCCCCACAGTTCTTTTAACTTTTGACTTGACTTTGTGGCCAAGTTTTGATGCACAGTAAGCATCATTCAGATTTTTTCTTCTGGAAACCACTTCATCATTTTTATTTTGTTTAGTAGAGGTGAAGCTTGAGCCAAATTGCATTGAAAGGAGTGCTTTGTAGCTTGGAGTCCTTGTCTTTCTCTTGATAGAATCATACTTGTTATACAATTCCAAATCCATGATTCAGCCAGTAAAGTACCAATATTTAGATTTGTTTTAAATAATAAATTCAAGATGCAAAGATATAATAGTAAGACTTGAATAATACAATTCACTGTTTCTCAGCAGAATGATATTGTATATACATGAAAATATGGCAGAATCTGAAAAATACAAAAGTCATTATTATAAAAATTTTGGGAATACAAATAAATAAAGTGAAAAGAAAGATTACAAAAAGACGATCTCTTAATAGGATTTATGTAAAAGAAGTTTCAATACATACATTTTTATCTGTCAAAATCAGTCCCTGAAATTGGTTCAATCCTTTTAGAAGTTTTAGTATCTGGTCAAAGTTGGTCAAATGCGTCAATATAATAACCCAGGATGGGGTCAAAATATACCTTCAAAAGAGGTACTGTCAACCGGGGCTACTCGGGATGGGCGGGGTAACTTGGGACAGTCCTCCAACACGGCGTAAAACTGTTTTAGTAGCAAAACTAATTAGAATATTGCAAAACTAAATATAGTGGCGTAAACATCAACATTTTTCCTATCTATGTAGTATAAAGGAAGTTCAAAAATACTACAA